TTTTAATTGACTAGATCAAAAACAATGTACTTACAACTGGATCCGGTAAAGTTGTTGTCGCTGCTGTTGTCATGTAAGTGAAATTGAAAGTTGTAAAAGAAATAGCTGTTATTAACAACGGAGAATTAATCTTGTTCTTATCCTTTTTGTAGAAATGCAACTAACGCTGTTGTAAAAACAATCGGTTGGCTATTTACTGGTTCTGCCAGTTTATTCTCTGAAGCTGTTCATTCAATTGCTGATACGTGCAATCAATTGATATTAACATTTGGCCTATGGCAATCGATTAAAAAGCCAAATCCAGAACATCCGTAAGTAGACTCAAAAATTTCAATTCGTTTTTTTTCAATATTCTGTCTTTTGTTCTCCTTTCAGATATGGATACTCTAATATGACTTATATTTCTTCACTCATCAGCGGTGTTGGCATATTTTGTTTCGGTACAGGATTAGCGTGGTATCATGGTGTTACCGGATTACTTCATCCACAAGAAATTGAATCTGTATATTGGGTATGGTGTTAGTTTACTTTGGAAAGATTCATACAAAATTGTTCTAGTAATTTTCTCTAGGGTTTAGCTTTATTAAGTGGTTCATTTATCTCAGAAAGTGGTAAGTAATATAAGAGATCTCTTTTTATTAGTTTTAATAATTCTTTGTTTTTTTCTTTTTAGCTACATTGTATATGGCCGTTAATGAAATTCGAGCATCAGCAAAACAAACAGGCATGCGTTTTTGGGAATATGGTGAGTGGATTAAAATAATATCATCTGTAATTGTAGTTATAACGAGTGTTACAGAAAGAATGGCATAGTTTTTATTTTCAGTTTTTCTCCTCTCGCTTTGAATTCACAGAGCTCATCTTATTACCAAAAGATTTCTCATTCTTTTCTCTACAAAATGGTATATAGACGACGATCCTAAGGTTTGAGACACTATCTTAATTGAACAAACATCAAAAAGTCCTAAAGGCTTAAAATTAAAATTTTTTCCAACGATAATTTTGAAGTTTGAACTCCATTTTGAAATTGATTGGAAGAAGATAGCACATCATTTCTTAGGACGTTTAGATGTCCTCTGTCAGATGGCGCAAGACTCATTTCCTTCCCATCGGTCTGATGTGGTAAAAATGACTGGTTAATAAGTGGCAGCCTATGCTAGTTTCAACATCTTCATTATTCAGAAAAGTCACATCAAACGTTTCGCATGTGAGTCAAGTAGACCAAACATTTGCCTTCAAAATGACGCAAGAATGAGCCAAAATGATGGAGTTCTGTCCGAGCAATATTCATTTTACAAATAGCCCCAAAATGCAAGTTGAAAAAGCGGTCGTAGAGCTTTTGCAAAAATCATTACTGAAAATACAGAAACAACGATAGAAAATCCGCATTATAGCTAATCGGTAGAGACTTTTAAGGGCTACATTTTGGCCTATTTGTTCTAGACGTATACGTTCAACTTCATACTGACGAAATACACTTTTTTGTGTTGAATTTTTCAAGTTTTACGGACATTTCGATGTTTGTTCAATTAAGACAGTATCTCAAACCTTATGAGCATCGTCTATACACCATTTTGTAGAGAAAAGAATGGGGAATCTTTTGGTAATAAGGTGAGCTCTGTGAATTCAAAAGGAGAGGAGGAAAACTGAAAATAAAAATTACGCCATTCTTTCTGTAACATCCATTAGTATATCGTATGAAAAAGAACTGAATATAAGCAAATTTTTACTAATATCTCTTTTCAACTTGTTACAGTTGGTCAAGGATATAAACCAAATGTCAATGTAGTACTACTAGAAGATTTGGCTGCTGTTTTGGGTGTTAGTGTGGCTGCTGCCTCAATGGGTTTATCATCATATTTGAGTAACGTATTATACACAATTTAATAGTAACTCTATATGATATTAATAAATTCAGACTCTCACATTCCTGATGCGATTGGATCATTAGTCATTGGTTGTATACTTGGTGGAGTAGCATCATTTATTATTTATTCGAATACAGCTGCTCTAGTTGGCAGGTACAGTTTTGTTATAGAATAAATAATTTTATTTATTAATATTTTTATTATTTGTAGATCCATTCATCCGAATCAAATTGAGTCAATTAATAGTGATTTAGAAAATGATCGTATGATAAGGTATATGATCATTATATAGTTTAAATTTTGTTTATTTTCAATAATTATTAAATAATTCTTTAGAGCATTGTACGATATTAAAGCAACCGATATGGGCAGTCAATCAGTGATGTTTAAAGCCGAAGTAGATATTGATGGAAAAGAAATAACACGTTCTTATTTGGAAAAAATTGATATACATCAAATACTTGATGTGAGTATGAAACAGTAGATTTTTATGATCATTATTCGATTGATGGTAAAAATTCAAACTTCTAGAATAATCTCTTTAGAACTTAATTATTTCTTGTTAGAAAGGATAGTACAGTTAGAAATTTCAATACTCTATCTAAATTATTTTAATTTTACAAAGACGTTTGTATTACACTACATTTATACACAAGTAAAAAAAGGTGATAGTATGCACTATTATATATATATATATATAGCACATTTATAGAGAGAAAACAATTAATTAGTGCAGAAAGAAAGTGAAAATAATATTTTCAACTCTCTTCGTACACCTAATATGATTAATTTTTTCTTGAAAATGATAAATGTTTTTTTTGCTTCTCAAAACATTGAAATAAATAAATAAAAATTTTTTAGAAATAAATATGAAAATTAAAGATAGTTGCTGTGACAATTACAATCATTTGAAAAGTGAAAGATTTTCAATATATACAATGGAGATAGAATCCACTATAATTTTCTTTCCATCGATGTGTGCCTATATAGAAAAAGAATATTAAATATTATCTTCTTTTCCATTTGTGTATATCAGTCTAGACTAATAATAAAAATATCATAAATTTTGTTAAATTAAACTAAATAAAATAATCTAGAAAGAGTAAGATTTAGGAAATTTAAAATTCAACTGCTTTTTATTTTGTCGATTTATATACATGATTGGATTGAGCTTGTCGAGCTGATTCCAAATATGTGTGTTTCGATCTTTCAAAAAAACTTCTTGAGGATCAAAATTTAAAAAAGTTGGAAAATTCTAAAATTTGAAAAACCGCCTTACTTTGAGAAATCAACGTATATCTTTCAAACAGTGAGAGTGGGAGCTTTAAGAGTTTTTTTTCTTATTCTGCGTTAAAAGTGGAATCTGAAAAACGTAGTTGCCATTTTTTTCTAATATCTTATGATCATGAAAAATTCTATTCTTTTTACCATAGTGAAAAACCCCATCGCTGGCTACAAAACGAATCGATTTTTTTTTATAAGAGCCAGAGTCGATTTTTTTTTATATCAATCGAATCGTCATATAGCCAGGGAAAAAACTCCACCTTTTTTTTACGTAATTCTCTTTTGTTCCTGAGATATGGCATTTTCTAAATAATAGTCGAAAAAAACGGTAATTCTCTGCTTTCTTGAGCAGAAGTCACTTTTTATGCAATAAAAATATCATATTTGGAATCACTGTCGAGAACCGAGTTGAATGATGTACTTTTTAATGTTATCCAACCACTTTTGTTTTTTTCGAATTTTTACATTAAAAAAAATAGTGAGATTTTCGCCAAAAAATGAAAATCAACGAAAGATTTCGAAATATATATCATTTTTAAATTTTTAGAACTTCTTTCTTGCAATAATATGTCATAAAATAATCGATTTAATTTATTATTTTAGGAAATTCGTAAAATAGATTCAATTGAACAAGCAGAAACATTTATGTTAAAACATGGTGAAAATGTTGTTGATCGTGTTGGAGCTGAAATTGACAGAATTGAAAGAAATTTAAGGGTATATTAGATGATTTAAGCATAGATTTTAGTCAAGTTATTTCGTCTTTATGTTTAGAAAAAACATCCATATCTTCGACATGTCGATTTAGAAGTACTTTAAACAACAAAGACAAGATTTTCAACATCTACACACAAGCTTTTTTTCTTCTTCTTTCGTATGGTAGAGACAATTGATTTTTTTTTTTATTTTAAACATAGCATATCCGCATGTAAAACAACTTTTTAGGCAAGAAACATTTTTTTTGTTTTCGTATTTTATTGGATTTTTTTCTCTCTCTCTCTCTCTCTTTCATTTGTACATTTATCTATCGAACAGAAATAAAATGAACGTTGCTGATAGTGTATAAACAAACCATTTTTACTCAGTTTTTTCCATCAGAATTTCACAAAAACTACGAAAAGAAAAATGATTTGAATAATTGATAAGAGTCTAATTAACTTATCACAAAATTTTCTTTATACATGAAAATGTATTTTTTTTATTTTAACTTGTTAAAACTGTCTTTTGAAAGTTTATTGACTATAATCGTTGACATTCTAGTAAAATACATATAAGCGTATTCCAAGTAAATTTATCATTCGTCTAGATAAGCAATAAACTGATGTATTTGTTGTGATTTAAGACTTGTAAACAGATTTAATAAATACTAATTCATGATTATAAAATGCTTTTTTAATAATAACATCAACACGACAACTCTGCTACTGTAAAGGAATTTCATAATGTTTTCTCATCATTTTATTTTGTTTATAAATCGTAAACCAAACGATGCAGATAGTTGCGACATGTCGTAAATTGAAGAAAAAACTGTTATGAACTTTTTAAAATATGTCCCAGCTCTGTAACATGTCTCGTTTTAAAGATCTGTTATTGGCAACTACTTTCGATTCTACAAAGTTTAAATGTGCGAAAAGCAGTTGCCAATAACAGATCTTTAAAACGAGACATGTTACAGAGCTGGGACATATTTTAAAAAGTTCATAACAGTTTTTTCTTCAATTTACGACATGTTGCAACTATCTGCATCGTTTGGTTTACGATTTATAAACAAAATAAAATCATGAGAAAACATGAAATTCCATATTTTTTGTTGTTTTATCGCACGCTGAATTAAGATGCTTTCTATTTATCTTTAAAAGGATTCACGGAGTTTCTAATGTCTCTCTACAATTGAACTTTGATCCCATATCTTACTCTATCTAATTAAGAGGAAAACATTTTCTTGTGAAAAAGACAGCAACTCTAATAAAAAACAATTTAAAAAAATAAAATACTAATAATAATTCATCATTGATAATGTTTTGTATACGAGTTGTATTCTTCAAACTTTTTTTGTTTTTATAAATTATTTATAAAGAAAACGTTTAATAAACATCGTTCAAGTGAATACAACTTGATTATTATCTATTGATGTATAAAAAACAATTGCATCATTTGTTTTAACTGCTATACGATTATCATTTAATTGAATCGTGTTTAATGGTTTAAAAACAATTTCAAGACGATTTAATTCTATACCATTATCATTCACTAATAATATTCGTTTACCATTCCTATCAGAACATATCCACATAGTATGTTCGAGATGTTCAATTTTTGGTGAATGTAAACCTTGTGTTAAATCAAATCTTGTTCGATTCTGAAACATAATACACCATTTTCTTGTAAATATTGAATATTTACTATTAAAATCAATTTGAAATGTAATTAATGATGTATGATGTTGATTTTCAATTTTATGTTCTTTATTTTTTGTTGATAATAAATTTTGTACAGATGGACGATAATAGCCAACAAATGCTAATTGATTATCTGCTTTTAATGCACAAGATAAATCTGAAATACGATAAATTTGTACATTATAATTGGATGATACAAATGAATTATTTGAATGTTTACTTAAAATATCACCATTATAAGTCATTTTTAATATCCAATTTTGTGATGGACAACGTTGAAGTAAATAAATATGAGTTGATGAACAACAAAAACTAGTTAATGTTGTTTGATCATTAAAATCATTAATATTCAATGTTTTTAATGTTAATTCTGATGTTATATCAATTTGTTGATTATCTATTCGTTTTAAATTATTTAATGTTATATAACATAGTTTAGAATTATCTGTTAAAAAATAAATTGTTTTTCTATTTGAACAATAATCCATTTTTGTAATTGATTCAGAAAGAATTATTTGATATTTCATTGTACCAATATAATTATCATTTATAGAATTAATACATAAATCTTTTGATGTTTTATCAAAATAATAAAAATTATTATCAATAAATAACATTGATGGTGTACAACTTGTTGCTGTTGTAATAATATGTTTTGATGATGTTTTCAATTGATCAAGTATTAATCTAGTTTCTAAATATTTTTGTGATATTGATGTTTGTATAATATTTAGTCCATCATTCGATACATTTCTTGAATATTTTTTTCCATAATTATTTAAATTTGGCATTTGTGAACTTTCATCAATTGTATCTTGTCGATTTATATGTTGTCCTATTTTTTTTATCTGATTTTTAAGCAAAAAACCTGTACTATCCTTGTAATCATCGTTTGAATTTGATTCAGTACTACTAGAAGCAGATTTACGATGATACTTATTTAAAAAACTCATTTGAGGAATATGAACATCGGATAAATGAAGAAAAGGAGTACTACGAAAAAATTTGTGCAATGTATGACGACGATTATTATCTAGAATGAGAAATATATTTAGTCTATTAGCCATTATTTATGATAAAAATGATATAATTTACCTAATTTTTGTACTGTCTCCATTTGTAGATTAACAACGTTGGCGCTAGTATCTAATGTTTCATGATTGTTACTTAAATCAGACGTGTTACTGATTTCTATTACGTTATCAATATTATTTTCATTATTATTTGTCATAAATAAGGTTTGAATAAATGAACGCAATTGATTGAAACGTTTAATTATTGTTTTAAAATTAGATAAGTCATTTTCAATCTTGTGCAGTTCATTGAAATTAGAATTATTATTTTGTATTGAATGAATTTTCAATGATATATCTTGTCGCTGTTTTTCTTGCCAGGTTTTTATATTTATTTCAATCATAAGAGCTAATGTTAAACGAACAAAACAATCATCTGCCATTAATAATTTTTTATGAGCTTCATGTGCCCACATATCTAATTCTACTACAGACATTTTTAAATCGATTACTCTTAATTCACAATGTTGTGATGTTGTAGACTTCTTTTTAATAGTATTATTACTTATTTGAAATAAATCCGGTGATCCCCAATCAAATGAAACTTCATTTAATAATATATTAATTTCTTCTTTTAACATTTGAATATATTCTCGTAGTAATGTTTCATGTTGAGAATTACATTCTACACAAAATGTTTTTGAACAGAATGTACAATGAGATAATATTGTAGAACTTTGTTCCGTACAGATCTGACAAATATTCATAGTTAAATTTTAATATGCACGATGTATCACTATAATCAGCTACGATAGAAATAAATAATGTCTTTGAAGCGAATACATAGGTAGTTTGTTCTTATTGTTTATTATTAGTAGTTTCGTGAATGGGATGAGAAACCTGTTAACAAATAAAAAAACAACACAGAAAATATCGTATCTAAACTTATTAGAAAATCATGCAAACTAGAACGAAAAGAAGAAAATTGTCTGATCAGTAGTAACTCATGTTTCACCTGAATGGTAAAGAGTATCATAATGCTTGTAAGTATACTTCAGGTGATAGCAGTTTATTTAGAATAAACCTGTAGAATGCTGAGTACGGCTCTGATACATGACCAAAGTCTTTTGTCAGCTAGAAAAAGAAAAGAAAATTTATATTAATCTAAGCCATGTACTAAAAATCGCATAAAAAATCGGCAATTAATCGTGAAAAATCATACGATTAATCGTGCGCTTAATCGCGATTAATTGCCGATTTTTTGGTGATTTTTAGGCGATTTTAGCGATTAATCGCAATTAATTGACGATTTTTTTCTAGGTAC